GAGAATTAGGTTTAACTGACCTATCTTCACTTAGTGTTTAAAATAATTCAGCACTTTTAATAAATACTGAAAAATGCTCATAATAGTAATTTTTGATTGCATTCATTGCTATTAGTTAGGGGGAGTTTATGATTCTTGATGAAAAATTAATTTTATGTTCAAATATCGATTAAAGATTAATTTAATTGTTTGAACATAATTATTTTTCAATATATGAGTTGCCTATACCACTAGAGAAGATTAATTTAGCATTTTGTGTGCTTAAAAATTGGATTTTAGCATTTTGGTGCAGAGGGAATCGATCCCCCCATGAGGGAACCGATTCCCCCTTTGAAGGAAAACCGATACCCCCTGGGGTTCTGTTAAAATCGGGCAGAACACCCCAAAACCCCAAAACCCTCTTATTTTTCTTCTTGCCGCCGTTCCCTCTCAACTCTTACCCTATCTTCATTCTTGCCTCAAATCAACGATATTAATCGGAATTCGAATCAAATATCATCTTCTAAACCTGTTGGAATCATTAAAATCGTGCAAACAACATCTAAATCCCCTCAATCTTCATCTTTCAAGGTAAATTTTTCTAAACTCTCTATTTCATTGATTTTGAACATAGGATTAGTTTTAATTAGTTCTAGGTTGAAATAGTGATCGGGCATGGATTGTTTAGTGATTAGAAACTAGATGTTACAATTAATTTCATCAAAAACACAAGAATTTTCCAAAATTTTTTAAATTTTCGAAATAAAAAAAAAATTGTTGTTTTTCAAATTATTGTGTTTTGATTAAATTATGTTGTTGTTATGAAAATTATACATATATTGTTTCTCAAAACCGTATTTGTCAAAAGTTTTTCAAAAACTTTGCCCAATAGGATTGATTTAGCGAACCTTGAAATATTGAGTACTCAATTGAGTTTTGGGGTTAATTGAATTGCATACATTTGTTTTTAAAATTGCAGGTTATCCAATCTATTCCAATTTCCTTCACCATGTCCAATCCTAAACGTGCTAGGTCTTCATCTAGTCGTTCTAGTCGTCAACCAAATCCACCTCCAAATTCTCCTCCTATTCCTCAAAATCCTATTCCAAATCTTGATCCTAACTTGACTATCCAAAATTCTTGTTTCAATCAACCGGGTCTTAAAGATTATCGTTTTTGGTTTTACCAATATTTTGACTCGTATAAGATTAGGGAAGAACGTATCCCATCTCTTCAAGCTATGGTTGCTATTAACTTTAAATATCTCCCTATCTTGCACGAATGGAAATTTGATAAACTTTTCAAACTTGAACCCGTTGTCTATCATCAACTTATTCGTATCTTCTATTGTAATGTCGTTTGTATCAAAAATCGTGACAAAACCAAAACCATAGGAGTACGTTCCTACCTCCTAGGTCAATATTTTCATCTTGATCCGGCTTACATAGCCAATGCCTTAGGCTTGGATAATGAAGGTTTATCAAATGAAAAACAAGTTTTAGGCTCTCGATATAAACAAAATGATAGTGCAAGTGTTCTAGATCTTCATGAGCGTTTTCTTCATCTCATGATCACTTGGTGGTTTCCACCATCCGGGGGTCGTTATTCTACTCTGAGAGCTTTAGATCTTTGGTGGTTGCATTGTTTTGAACAAAATATAAAAATAAACCTTTCTGAGATTATCTTTGCTGAGATTGTTGAAACCGTTAACCTAGTGCCAAATAAGAAACTCTGTTCTTCACTAGTTTACGGTTGTATCCTTAGTAATCTCTTTTCTATAGCCGAGCTTCGAGTTGGTCTAGATGCCTCCTTTCCTCTTAAGAAACAAATCAATCTTCTTTCTTTAACAAGAGCGGGATGGGTCAAAGATAAAGAAACCGGTGAATGGGTTCGATCTTCTGCAACTACTCCGGGAGCTAGTTCTTCACAAGCTCCACTCGAAGCTGACGAAGATCCAGAGTTTGAACAATTAATGAGGGATATCGATGAAGCCGAAGATGATCCTGAGCAACCCGAGGAGCACGCACAACAATCGGCTCAAATGCCTCCATATTTTCAATCCTTTATGGAGACATTTGATTTCTGATATGCGACCATGGATTCACGCTTTACTTCTATAGAGTCCCATTTATCCACAATGGGAGCTCAACAATTAGAGATTCTCCGAGAGATGCGCACAAACAACGCTTCAATGAATGAATGTATTGATGCACTCTCACACGAGATGGCCGCTATGCGAGCTCGTTTTCCTCCTCCCGATCCTCCTACGGATGTTTGATTCTATATTTTGCTTTGAACTCCAAACTTATTGTTTTAACATTTTGAATATTTTGGAATGTTTGAATTTGTGGATTGTGAATTTGTTTGGATTTATGGATGGTGTGAACTTATATGTTTGGTGTGATTTATTCATTATTGCATCATTTACATCATTATTAGCAATATGACCAATTTTGCCATATCACATTGTTTATGAATATTGATTATGGAACTAATGGCTAACGTTTCTCTTGATTGTGATCTTAGCAGCTTATGCATACATATACCTAATCAATTGGCTAAATGATTTTCACGTTTCTTTGAATCTTTTTGATTTAACAAAAAGGGGGAGAAGTGTGTGTTTTTAAAATGATAAATGGGAGAAGTGTTAAAGTAAGAGGGAGTAATTTCAAAACTTGATTTCAAAATCTTAAAATTACTAAAATGTTTTGTTATATCAAAAAGGGGGAGATTGTTGAAAACATTTTGATATTTCGATATAACAAATTAAGTTAAATAAAATTTAAGATTTTCCAAATGATTTTCTAAGTATATTCGATATAATTATTCGAATATCAAAACATTACTCTAAATATTTCAAAAATCATTTTTAATCCTTACTTAAGTGTAAAATTAAATTTTAATCTTAAAACAATTTCAAAATAATCTTTCAAAGTATTTCGAACCATTTCAAAGCCAAAAATTCCAGATTACTTAGAGGGAACCGATTCCCCCCCAAGGGGGTACCGATTCTCCCTGAATGGTTTGGCTCCGAGATTTCCAGAATGCTCAGAAGGAACCGATTCCCCCATAGGGGGTACCGATTCCCCCCTGTTCAACGGTCGAAATATTTGAATTTTACACTTAGGGAACCGATTCCCTATGAGGGGGAACCGATTCCCCCCACGCTCCAAGCTGTTTTATTAATTGTTTTCACACTAAAACGGCTATATGATCTTCACTAATCATCCCCAACATTCAAAAGTGATTCAAGGTGTATTTAAACAAGTTCTGAAGCCCTTGATCAATAAGAAATCATAGAGAAACAAGAGAGAAAGCATCAAACACCAAGTTTGTGCAAATCAAGCCAATTTTCCTTTCAATATTCATTTTGCTTTCAAGAACACCATTTGTGCTCATTTGTAATTATCTTTGAGTGTTCTTTTCTTGTTCTAGAATTGTGCAAACATCTTACCTTGTGAGGTTTTCCTTGTAAGTTTGCAAATTTGTAATCTTCTCTTTGGGAAAGAGTGTTCTCAAGAATTGGGGTATATTCTTGAGGGTGTTGTAAGGTTATCTCTTTGGCCTCAAAAGAAAGAACAAATTAGTGAATTTGTTGGAAAATCCTTAGTGTGGATAGCTAAGGTAGTGGACGTAGACTTTGATTGAGAAAGTCGAACCACTCTAAATCGCTGTGCAATTACTTTCAATTTTCTGCAAAAGCTTCCACCAAATTTTTAATTGCCAATTCACCCCCCTCTTGGCCAAATCCGTCAATCGATTAACTCAACAGAGACGTAAGCAACATGAAGGTACAAGGTAGAAAGAATGGTGTGAAGATATGATTGTTCCAATCAAATCTTCAAGTGTGAGATTGTTGAAAAGTCAAGATAAGTGGCCAAACTATTTGGTGCAAATTGTTGAAAAAAAATTGTTAGGCACCGAAAGTTTGGATTGAAAAACAATTTCACCTAAAATGTTGAAAATATGGATGGTAAAACTATGCAATTAATCATTGTAATTTAGGGTATTTACAAATTAGTCCTTAAAGCTTCAACTATAAATACCCTAGCTCATTTAGCTTCAAAACCATCCCAAAGCATTCTAGCTTTCTTCCAATACTAGAGAGAATTTAGAGAGTTTCTTGAGAGTTGTTTTCTCCTTTTTATCAAGAGAGAATTATCATTGTTTTCTCCTTGGTAGACCGAGAGAGGTTGTAATTCCTATTTTTCTCATAGTGAAATTCTTCTACCGTTTCCCGTGGTTTTTACCCTATATTATTTAGGGGTTTTCCACGTAAATTTTGTGTCTCTTTTTATCTTCATTTTTATTTTCTCAAATTATCAGTTACGATTTTACTCTATCCGATAGCCGTCTTCCGCAACACAATACTCTTCTTCTTCTTCTTTTACAAAGAAAATATTAGCATAAGAACAGAGAAAGGTGTTGCAAATGTTGAGATTCATATATATATATATAGATATATCCAATCACAATTAGGGGTGTTCATAATTTGGTCAAAAATCAAATTAACCGATCGGACCGAAATTTCGATCATTTAATAGGTCGATTAATTTTGGGTTTGGTCGATTAACGGTTAATGATTTTTTTAAAACTTCGGTTATCGGTTAATTCGGTTCGAATCCGATTAATAATCCAAATAATTAAATATTTAATATATTATTTAGTTTTAGGGGTGTTTAAACTTCGATTTTAACCGAGTAAACAAAAATACTAAATATATAATATTTATATATTATTTATAAATTTTGGTTAATTCGGTTAACCGAACTTAGTTCGGTTCAATTAATTTTTTTTGAAAATATTTTGTTTCGAATAATGGTTAAAGGAAAAAAAATAGGATAATAAATTTTGGATAATTCGGTTCGATCAGTTAAGCGAAATAACCAATTGAATACCCCATTCACAACGTGTATTTTTTTTTTTAGATTTACACCTTTTCAAGGTTGGACGAGTAAAAATAGATAATTGAGATTAACGTTAATAAATAAGAAGATATTCACTAAAAAAAGCCGAGAAGATAATTCCAATCATCTATTTTCATTCATCCAATGATGATTGTATATTAATGCAAAACAATTCAAAACCCAACATAGGAAAGGTTAGAAATTCTTTAAACACCATATATCTATGTATATCTCTCCCGCATCAGTTGCCAGAATGTTGATTTTGGAGAAAAAGAAGTGAACCAAACAGTGGAAGGGAAGTTGCAGTTGTTCAATTAACCTCCTTCACGTTGGCCAATTTGGTCAGATCTACATGCTGCTCCTGTATCCGGCTCATAATTCGCGAAAAACTCGTCTCAGTCATGGACATTGTATCTTCTTTACCCAGGCGCCTCTGCTTTATCTTTAGGATAGCTTGTGTTACTTCACCTATCGAAGGCCGCTTCCTCGGTGATTTGTGCAAGCATTTATGAGCAATTTTCGCTAGCTGCCTCACTTCTTCGATGTTGTATTCTCCAGCCAGTTGCTTATCGAGGATTTCATCGACACCATCTGGACTCATAGCAGCCTTATAAAGAAAATTTATGTTATAGAAAGATTGATGCATGAACTACTAACAACCAACACTTCTACTGCACAGGAATAAGAGACTAACAAGATTAACGTATTCCATTAAATTTTGGTGCGGATGGATGGCTGTGATTAGCTCGAAGATGATAACGCCAAAACTGTATACATCGCTCTTCATTGTAAACTTGTTTGTGGATATATACTCCGGATCTATGTAGCCATATGTACCTTTGATGCCAGAGTTTCGGCCATCAAAAACCTCTTCCTTTGACAGCCCAAAATCAGCAACCTAGCAAAAGAAATCGTACCTTTTAGAGTTCATTATTGTTATCTTGATCGTTTCAATAGATTACAGAGAGAAGATTCGAAAAACATGAGTCATTGTACGGCTGCTCACCTTGGCTCTCATTGATTCATCCAACAATATATTGGCGGACTTCAAGTCACGATGTATTACTGAAGGGACTGCCTGTCCAATAATGGGTGATGTTTAAGTCAAATGACAAGTTTGTGTAACAATGGAGAATATCAACTTCAAATCATTCCATTGTTACCCCTTCATGAAGATATTCTATGCCGTGTGAAATATCAAGGGCAATTTGAAGTCTTTCATCCCAATTCAGTCCACGTTCCCCTTCACCTGTGTACATATAGACCAGGTTGATTATTGTTAAGGAATCACAATATTAGCCATACCGTGCCATTTCGGGTCCAAACAAGACTAAAATCTTAATGAACTCAAAAGCTTGCTCACAGGAAACATTTAACAGAATTGAACTTGGTGAAATTACAGTACAACGTTAACCATCAGAAAAGCAAGCTTATTATTGATATAAATATGGATGGAAGAAGCTAGTTGTCCATTAAGTTACATAATTTGACGAGTCATTGAGCTACTCAAAGGCCTCTAGTAACCCGCATTGCAGAATATTCAAATACATGCCGGCATTAAATATTAGTTTGATAGGATTATGTAACAACATAGTCCCAAGTTCTGTTTTTTCTTGTGTTTAGAGAATGCAAGATAGCATGAGAGATTTCAGTCTATATATTACAGTTTAAAACAGAAAAGAACATTAACTGCAAGTCGGAGCCGTGATCCTTGATTACAGCCACTGGAAAGTAAAAGTATGATTCTGCATAAATTAAAATGTTCTAGCACATATCTACGACGGACAAATATAATATGAGAGCAGCAAAAAAGAAGTGGCTCCCAAGCTTACCATACAGTAAAGATGCCAAGCTTCCATTGCTCATGAACTCATAAATTAACATGTATTTCCCTTTATCCACACAATATCCTACCAAGTTCACAAGATTCCGATGATGCAGCCTTCCTAGTAGACAAACCTCAAAAAAGGAAAAAGAAAAAAAGTTTAACAGTAAAAGAAAAAAAAAACTTGCATGATATGTTTATTTACTAATAGTAAAATAATATGAAATGTTCAAAGAAGGAATTTCTTTCCATTCATTCCAAGAATGGAATAGCAAAGTTAGCAGTTAGCACCTGCCCAGACAGAATCATTTCAGAATGTAGGTTGCAGCTATTATGTTATTTTAATCTACTTGTATGGGCTACTGAAATGTATTCTGCGATACATTAATGGACTTTTGCTCTAAATACTTTTATGCAAAACAAAGCCAAATACTATTTTTTATTTAAATTAATATAGACCAGTTCTTCATACAGTTGGATTAATCCAGGCGTAGGTACCATTAAGATAGAAAAAGATTTGCTGGAAACTATCTATTCCCAAGATTGTAGGAGGTGTCCTTTTACGTGGTTAGTGCAGCTTACCTCCGTGTGGAACTCTTTCTCACCCTGGTGAGAATCCGAAGCAAGCACCTTTACAGCAGCTACGCCACCAGTAGGCATCGTCGCTTTATAGACTGGCCCAAATGATCCTTCTCCTAAAATAGTTGTAAAATTTTGTGTAGCTTTCTGTACATCCCTGAAAAGCACAATGAATAAGTTAAACTGAAATTCGTATATCAATTTCTTATCATTATAGGAAATGTGAAATTGGTAAGCCTCTAAACATGAATTGGCTTTGCTATTCAACACAAGTATAATGTGTAAGCTCAAAATAGACATGGACTTACTTATAGGAATACTTAGGCAAGCCAGATGCAGAAGCAACCCGATCATTACTATGAGGACTCCACCAAGATTTTGGAGAACTTCTCTGATGATATTCTGGTACCTCGACAGCTACAGAATTCGAGAGAGATGCACTGAAGTCGGTGCTTGTACCAAAGCCATTTGTTCTTATTGGAAGAACGGTAACGCTAAGTTCATTTGTACGTCTCAGTTTTACATACTTTCTGTACCACCTTAGCCCGAAAAATACCAAAGAAGCTATCAAGATACCAAGGGCCAAGCCAACAGAGATGCCAATGACAACTAAGTCACCTTTATGAACCATGCTTTGGTCTCTTGAAGTACCCAGGGGATGAGAACATCTTGCAATGCACAAATTCAGCAGGGTCACTGTCATACGATGAAAAAAATCATTATATCCATCTGAAATTAGAAAGCCTTAATTATATCTTGAAGGCAGGCAGGCAAAGAGGAAGCTGTAGCAAATAAAAGCCGAGGAAAATGATGATTAAGAAACAGTACCATTAAGCCAAGGAAACCATTATGAAATAAGTACATGTACCATAATCGGACACTAAGCCACCCAGGCCATGTTTTCCATTGCTAAAATATTGAGCTCTGTTTATATAATATCTTGAGAGTTGAGACAATCAATCAAACAGCTATGCAGAAAGAACATCCCAGGGATTTAAATAGCGGTCGGTATTGTCCGAAACTGTTATTGCACTGCAACAACTGCAATTTAAATCCCTGCTGACCTAAACAATAAACCAGTAATTCAAAGCCTAACTTTGCCTCAACTAGCTTTGGCTTTCCATATATGACACTTGCCAAATCATTCACCCACCTTTTCAAATATGCCCAACTCTTCAGAATCAAATTTGATAAACAGATCATGAAAAACCTTCAGATACTAAATAGGTTCTATCAAATTATTTATATTGAATAAAAAAAGACCCCAAAAGCTAATCAACATAAAGAAGAGAAGAAGATGGAAAGAACCCAAAGAGCATAAAACAGCCATAAAAGGAAAAAAAAAGAAGAGGATTTTAAGCAAAGAAATGAAAAAATAGCAAAGTAGGCCATGAACCCATACCTTATGGGAAGATGATGTGCAAGTGAAGACGGAAAACATGATAATTCCTTGCATTGGGTTTTGATTAGTTATGAGTGGGAGTTGACAAAAGTCAGGAATGAAAATGAAGCTGACAAAAAAGAGTCTTGGTTGGAGGCTTGCAAGTTACAAATTATGAAAATGAATCTCCATTAATGAGTCATAGGGCTGTAAACTATCCTAATCGAATTTGAGTATTATTAAGCTCGATTTAATTTTAAAAATATAAAATTAAATTCGATTTAAAATCTCAAAAAGTTAAAATTATCAAGTATTATTCAAACTTCAAATAAAAAATTAAAATTCAATTCGACTAAAAAACTTACGAATTCAAAAATTTCAAACTCGATTTGAGCTTTTAAAAACTTAAGCTCAAAATATTATCAACAAATGTCGATTGAAATTCAAACTGAACTTTAATATAAATCTTAACTACATAAAAATATTCTATTATATTAAATTGTTAAAACTTAAATTCTAATCTTCACATGCTTGAAAGGAATACAATCATAATTCACATAATCACTTGGGTTTTAAAAAAACCTGGAAATTATTTTAAATTAAAAGGTGTTTGTAATTAGATACTTTAAGTTTTATGTAAAAATATTCATTAAGACTTTGAGATTTTTTATATAGTTTTTCTTGAATCATTCTAAATAACTATAAGTTCATATCTTTATAAGATTTTCTTAGTCAATAATAGCATATATATATATATATATATATACCTTATAGACTAAACTACACAAATTTGAATCTTTTAAGAAGAAATATCATTCTTTTGTATTATTGAGATCATTGAATAAATCTATTTATTTTTTTATAAAAGACTCAATCTTTGCCTTATATTTGAGGTAGCGTTTGGTTCGCTGAAATCCCTTGGAATTAGGGGAATTGAAATTCAATTCCATCACTTTCCCATGTTTGGTTCAAGTTTTCAAAGGGGGAATTGGAATCCAATTATATCAAGGGAGGGAAAGTAAATTCTATTCATAACATGATGAAATTGAAATCCTTTGGAGGAGGGAATGTGAAATTTGACCATACTACCCTCATCAATCTTTTAGTATTCGGGTCGGATTTTTTTTTAAAAAAAAATTCGAGTTCGGGTCGGGTTTTTGTAAGTTTGATATTCGGGTCGGGGTCGGGTCGGGTTTTTTTAAGTGTGATATTCGGGTCGGGGTTGGGTTTAGGGTGAAAAATACCCAACCCGACCCGAAAAAATATATAATTTTATCTTATATATTTAGGAATAATTACAATAATACCCTTCTATATATAATTTTTTTCAATTAAGTCATTGTTTTTATTGAATAAAAATAATTTTTTTATTATTTTGGGTCGGGTCGGGTTTCTAATTTATATATTCGGGTTGGGTCGGGTGAAACTTTATTTTGGTCGGGTCGGGTAGACCAAAAACTCGACCCAATCTGACCAATGACCATCCCTAATTGAGATGATTTTAACTTATGATGTTTATAGTATGATTTTTATAATTTATTGAAATGAATAATCAATCAATAAAATGAAAATTTAATATTTTTTAAATTTTTTTAATATATTGCTACATGTAAGTTATAAAACAAACTAAAATTAAGCAAAAAAAATGGCAATTCTATTATTTTACATTACTGAAATCAAATTCATCTGACATGTCTGCGAACCAAACAGAATATGGAATTGGATTCCAATTCAATTTCCTGCCAACCAAACATGTTTAAGATTCATATTCCAATTCCTTCACAGATTCCAATTCTCTCATAAACATTCTAGCGAACCAAACGTCACCTGAATGTTTTTGTTTATGGTGGTGGTTAGATTTAAAAGTGGAGCTAGTCCATGTATAAAAGTGGGTTAGATATGATCTGCCAACAATTTTACAGACAAATTTGATATCCATTTAAACTATTAATCAAACAAGAAAACCCAATGTGTTTAGGTAGGTTTCGTTTTATATTATACAAGATAATGGAATGGAGTGGGTGAATGTTGTCAAATTTTTAATTATTCTACCATACCATCTTTTGTTTCATTGTTTATGTAGTAAAATGGCTGATCCAAGAGAAAAATACGTTATTATTACGCGGAGAAATGATTTAGGTTTCGTTATCATTCCATCAAGCATGGTAGAATAGAGGAATTATAAAATGATCCATCCAAGTGGTTCAAGCTTTGCAGCAGAGGAAACGGCCAAGTCCTTTACAAGGAGGCTGGGTTTCCTCCCCTGAACCCCATATCTCAATCTCCTTCTTACCCTTTACGTATGACTCATCCATTTTAGGTACTACTACAACCAGCACTCCATCACGCTTCCAAGCCTTCATCTCATCACCCTTTACATTTCGTGGCAGACTGAATTCCCTTAAAAAGATGCTTCCCCATCTCCTCTCTCGGCAATGCCACCGCGTCCTCCCGCCTTTCTCCTCTTCTTCTTCATCTTTTCTTTCACCACTCACATGAACAACTCTCCCTTCACGAATTTGTAGCTTTACGTCCTCCTTTTTGAAGCCGGGAAGATCTATCTCGAAGACGTGGGAGTGCGGAGTTCCAGTCCATCGCCGGAGGTCAAGTTTCGCCGGTTGTTTGCGAGAATATCCCAAGGGGATTATATATAGGAGAGGCATTCTTGAAAATTTTGGAGTTGGAGAAGAGATCATAATAGAATGTTGGAGAGAGTGCTTGGTCAACAATTCACTTCATATTATTAAAAGGTATAATTTCATAATGTCTCCTGAAGTTTATCAAATTTATTAATGTGGTGTTTTTTTTCTATTTTTAAATTCTTCAATTTGATACTTATCGTAACTAAGATGGCTCTTTCATTCCGATCATATATAATGTTAAATATTTTAAAGTAAAAGTATCACATTGATGAATTTGTCAAATTTTAGGGATCGATTATGACATTAAATCTTGTAAAAGAGTGAAGGAAACTATGATGCGAAGGAAGCTTCTGGGATTAACTAGAGTTTACGACTCTCCTCTAACTAATAGTGTAAAAAATCTATTTAACAACACGAGATGGAAAAATAAAAAAGCATACGAACTTTATCTAAAAAAATACGAAATGGGTCAAAATTTGTATACCGAAAAGTATTTTATGATATATAATTTTTGTGATACGTTTTCTTTAATTTGGACCTTTATTATATATATTTTGTATGTTACGTAAATTAAAGATATATTTTGTGATATATAATTTTTATGCATCTTGGGTGATTTTTAATAAAGTAGTATACTTTGAACTTTGAAATGTTGGTATATTGCATGCTTTATGTTTAGAGTGTTAAGTATGTTTTAATGATTTTAATGATGATTTGACGTTAAAAAATATTAAAAATGATGTTAAATGAAGCCTAAACAATCTCTTAAGCTTTAAGAATCATGTATGACTTTAAAACATGTGTTTGAAGGTGTCATGGAGTGACTTCTCGAGCTTTAGTACGAGTTTTTTGGATTGTAGTTTCATATTACATTATCGAGACATTATGAATTTTGCCATGAAAGTTTGAGTTTAAAAGGGTTAGTGATATTGTTAATATAACATCGATATTCACTTTGGCAGTATCATTACTAAATGATTCGAGGGATTCTAGTGTGCTATTTTGGTGTCAATAACATTAATTCGGTATCAATACTTCTTTCTTGATATCAATACTATTGAGTGAAAATCGATACTCAAGTATCCATACTCTCCAATGTTGAAAAACTAAAAACACCTTCAATTGTACTGAAATATTTACGAATCACTATGAAATTAATAAATAATATAATAAGAGTTTACAATTCATAAAGCGATATACATCATCAAAAGACCCCATAGGCCTAATAATATGGGTTTCAAATGTCTAAAACAAAGAAAATTGAGTAAAATACTCTTCTGAATTAGGAATGAATTTAGAAACCCATAAATATACAAAAATGATGAAAATGCTATATAGTGCTAAAATGACAAGTTAGAAATTAGTTGTAATTAGTTTTTAGAGCTTGTTGTAATAGTGTGTTCAAGGTCAGAAGAACAGAAGAAGAAGAAGAAGAAGAAGAAGAAGTAGAGGGAATGTTAATATAATGAGTTAGTGAGCATCAATGATCATGCTCTAACATTGCTCGAGCTCCAGTGCATATTGCATGGTTGCTGCATGGTGTTAGTAAAATAACTAATAGGTTCTAGAAGGTTGTTAGCAACAGTTAAGGCTGTTAACGATTAGTTACAAAGACTATTAGGACTATAGCAACTATGGGAGCTGTATATAAACAACATAGGGTTTGTAAACCATGAGTTATATTCATTCTATATTCAATATACAAGTGTTATGTGTTTATTCACTAGATACTTAATATGGTATCATTCACCAAACGGTCATGACTTTGTTTTTCTTCCACTGCATGGAGTTATCGCGAACGAAAATGTAGAGGAGAAGATCTCGAAGATCGCCATCGCCAATGGCATCTCCTGCGCCAGAGGAAACCCATTCTCCTCCCAAATCAACCATTTTCAACAAAAGGAAGAGGAATATGGCTAACGCCTCCCATTCCAATTCAGCTTCCACTTTCTTCAATCTTCAGTCCTCACCGCCTAACAATAAAACCCTATCCCCCATTTCCAATCTTAAGGAATTCACATCTTCTCAATTTGAGGATATGAAGCGAAACCTCATCGATCGCTCTCACTCTAAGATTCTTAAGGATCTCGACGCCTCTCACTTTCACCTCCACAAGCGCTTCAAGATCTAGACACAAGCATGCCAACAAGTAATGGAGGAAGCGGAAAAAGAATACAAGAAGATATCGAAAAAGATTAATAGCAACTATAAAGCAATGAAAGCCTCATATGCAGAATTCATGGCAGATGCTCAAGCCACTGCATCTCGTGTTTGCAAAACTTCTATTTCTGAACTTTCAAAGTCATTTGAGAAAGGAATTGATGATCTCATCAACCTATTTGGAACGTCATCCGCTTAAAATTGATTATGAAACCGGAAGACACTTCCTCTTGATCTTCTTTTCTGGTCTTGTATAATTGGAAGGGCAATGGAATTTTCCTGATGGGTAAATGGTGTAGCGTAGTATTAATTTTTTGTTCGTGATATCTAGCTGTTACTATTCTGAAACATGTGGGCTTTGTTAGCTCAAACAGGAGGACAAAAAAATGGATTCGTCAGTTGTTCAAATTGTTCATATCAATTAGCTTAACTCTTGATTAGAAAAATAGTCTGTCAAGGATCCTTGTATAAAAGGATGAAGAAGAAAGAAATGAAGGTGAATAAGAAGAACAAAAGGAAGCATCGACACTTTCGATTCAAGTGAACGGAAGGAATCATTGGCACTTTTGATTCAAGAAGAACGAAAGAAAGCATCAACACTTTCGATTCAAGTGTTCATCTTTTCATCAATAAGGTTGAGAAAGTAGGGAGAATGTTAGAAATTAGTTGTAATTAGTTTTTAGAGCTTGTTGTAATAGTGTGTTCAAGGTCAGAAGAACATAAGAAGAAGAAGAAGTAGAGGGAATGTTAGCATAATGAGTTAGTGAGAATCAATGATCATACTCTAACATTGCTCGAGCTCCAGTGCATGCTGCATGGTGTTAGTAAATAACTAATAGGTTCTAGAAGGCTGTTAGCAGCAGTTCAGGCTGTTAACGATTAGTTACAAAGTCTGTTAGGACTATAGCAACTATGAGAGCTGTATATAAATAGCAGAGGGGTTGTAAACCATGAATTATATTCATTCTCTATTCAATATATAAGTATTATGTGTTTCTTCACTAGATACTTAATATGACCAAAATGTCACGTGTTAAAATGTTTGAAATGCTCTTGTATGTTGAAATGATCAAATTATTTTTAAGTGAGAAAATGATCAATATACTTCTATGAATGAAAATGATTAAAAAATCATTATAGGTGGAAATTATTAAAAAAACATTGTGTGAGGAAAAATTATTGTAATACCCTTATGGTAAGTAGTTGGAGTTTTAAGGATCTAAACTAGTTATAATTACATTTGATAACTTTTGTACTCGTTACATGTGATAACGGTTTATGTTTAAATTCATTAATTACATGTATTTTGAGACGATCAAGTGTTTATCCTTGAGCATAATGCACTATAAGCTAAATAATCTTAAATCAAGCATAAGACTTGAAATAAGTCTAATAATGGCTAATGTCAATTGTGCGGTTGCACTTTGTGCATTAATGATGATGTTGAAGAGACTACAAATGCCTCACAATTTGATGAGTCTCTATATGATAACTTGATAAGACTTATTAAGAATCACATACAACTAAATGACTAATATATTATTATGTATAATGTTTTAAGAAATGATGAGCCATAATCAAAAGTAAATTGTGTCATAACTTAAGACGAAGGCTTATGCCTAGTTTGTGAATAGTTAACATAAATGTGTGATTATGCTATAATGTTTGGTCTTAAAGGCAATGTTTTTATGTGTTGCCTACAAGGACCTATGTATTTGTATGACAACGCTCAAAATAGAGCTGTTTAGATAGTTCGGGTTTATACTACTTGGTACGTTTGTGACACATAAAGAGAGGGCTAAAACTAGTCATTTTGATAAGAATTTGAAGTTGATTTTGAAATTTAGTAAGTCAACTAACTTGCAACATATTATTAGATAGGATTTAAGTATTTCTAACTCAAGATGTCCTTTTAAAACATGATCGTTTGTCAGTTATCTTTCCAATGCATCTTGAAACATTTTAATTGAACATTGAGAACTTAACATATGCTTGTTTTAGTGAAGACATCGCAGTAAAAAAAGTTTACATATAGACCCAATACAATATTTTTTAATCATTATAAATTTTAATATTTTTATTGTTTATTTGTAATGGAATTCATTTTAGTACTTTTAATTATTATTTTAAATTATTTTAGATTATATTTGTCATTTATATTATTTTTAAGAGATATATATAAATTAAGATATTATTTTATCTCTTTTTATTTATCTAGTTATGTAACATCCTCAATACCAGGTTAGTGACCAAATTGAAATGTTTTGGAATTTGGTGATTAAAGTAGAATAATTGAATAGTTCAATGATTTATATGGAAATATTTTGTAGAAGTTGTTAGTAATTAATAAAGGAATTCAAGGGCAAAATGGTCATTTGACAAGGAAAATTTTTATATTCCTTTTATAAGATAAGGGAACCACGTGGGAAATTAGAGAATTCGCCAGAGTTTTCTTTCTTCTTCCTCCTCCTCCTCCCGTATCTCCAAGCTCAAAGGTGAGTTTCTTTGCTTGTTAATTAATTGTTGATTTTAAGGTTGAGTTATGATCATTAGATGATAATTAAGCTTAAGGAAAGCTTAATTTGTTCTAAAACAACAAGATGAAAGATATAGAAGAGATTAAAGAAAATGAGTTTTTAGATGAATTTCTGGAAAAGAGTTAATAAGTGAAATTTGAGAAGGAATTTGACTTGTCATCACCAAGAATAAGAGATTTATGAAGTTAGAAAGGATTAATAACAAAGTTGAAAGTTTAGTACGATTCTTAAAATTAAGAATCATGATGAGATATGGAAGATATAGATGGTTTATATGAATACAAGTTGGTTTAAGTAATGGTAGTTGAGTTTAATGACATGATA